CATCAGAAGATACTGACATTGATCCAGTCTTCCACATCAAAAATCCTCGGTGAGGTGATGGATCGTTGTATCTTCATCTTCTTTTTCACTGTCCTCTATCTCTTCACGACAAACAGGGATCTTTTTCTTCTGTGGGCACACTCTAGTCATGTGCCCTTTCTGATGACACATGAAGCATAATCCTTTCTTCATATGGTCACTTCTTTTGGCTTCTGTGAGCTGATCTACCTCCATAGCGTTTGGGTTGTGCCGATCAATGGATGGTCTTGGCACATAACGTTGTCCTGTTGGTCTAGTGGTGGTACAATGGTTCTGTCGAAACGTGGCACCTCTCTGGTAGTTGCTGTCAAGCCGGATGGCCGTGGCAACGTACTTGTCGAAATCTGTAGGAATGGTTTCCATCTGGAAAATGGAATTAACGATCCCCTTCTTTAATCCATCGTTGAAAAACGTGATTAAGACTGCATCTTGTTTTACGGAGGCTTGCACAGCAAGGGTCTTGAAGCTAGCAACATAGGAAGTGAGGTCGCTCGTTTGTTTCAAGGTATGGAGTTTATTCATGGCTGTGCCAATAGCATCAGCTGGTATGAAAGCTTCTTTGAACTTTGCTTCGAAGTTTGCAAAGGTTCTGTAAGACTTGGAGGAGGAGTTATCAACTTTGGTGTAAAAGGTGAGTGCCCAACCCATGGCGCTATCTTCAGTCATATACGCAAGGGCGGTGATGACTTTCTTCTCGTCAGTGTTATAGATTGTAGTGTTAAGCACAAAGTACGCTTTAACCGCATATAACCATTGTAAGGCCTGCTGAGGACTTCCATCATAGGTAGAGGGAGCTCCGGCTTTAAGTTCTGGGGTATTGGTGATGGTGGACATCCTGATCATTCTGGTCTAGTGATGTTTCTATTGCAGGGGATGTTTCATCTCTCTCTGCCTTCTTCATTCTGCTTCTGGATCTGGGACCTCTCGGATGGAGGGGGTTGATGGTGGACTTTAATCTTTTGTTACGAACTAGGATAGTCGCAACGACAGCTACTTGATAAGAGCAACGGCTGAGGTTGAATCAAGACCTTACAAATGTAAGGGTCATTTAAGACAAGCCAAAGAGAGTGTCTCTGGCTTGAATATTGATGATCAGATGACTTAGGATTGGAGGTCCTAAATGAAGGATGTTTCAGGTGAGAACCTAGTAGATTAAAGTGAAGATCTACTGAGTACATGACCGGGTATATATAGTAAGTAGCATGAGTCAGAGATAAGAACAAGTCAGAGATAAGTCATCTAGTGATGGCAATAGCAATCATGATGTAATACAGATAAAAGAGATGAGTCATCTAACGATGGCTTATAGCAGTTGCGATGTAATACAAAGAAGTGAATGATAGGAGAAATGGATAGGGGGCAAGCGTAACTGTAACATCCCTTAAGGGTCAAACATATCGCCTGGCGCACTTTGACCAACACTTAGAGAGTCAGTAGGCCTTCCTCTCACCCCAGAGTGAGAGGCATCTTTCTTTCTTTTGCTCTGCAGCCCAGCAGAGCTGTTGAACCTTCACCAGGCAGCCCCCAAGTTCCTGACCAACCCTATCCATTTGCTGCTTCAAGTAGCGAATCTCAGTACTATCCATATCCCAATCACTCTTCCTTTCAGCTTGGCAACTGGTATTGGAATCAGGGGGTCCAAAAGTCACAAAGCGATTACACCAAACTGCTGGAGATCCTGGACAGCAATGCATTTAATGTTGCTGATGTGATGTACACTCACTGGAAGAAAATCAACTGCCAGCTGGGTGGTAATGAGTATGATGAGGGAGATGGGGAAGAGTGAGAGGATGAAGATGCTGGATGGAAATGCACACCAGTTTCCATCGAGGGCCCTTTTTCCTGTACTACTGACACACCAGGCCCTCAGCTTTACAGAGCCACAGATTTGTACCATCGCTCTCTAGTGGCTGTGATATGGGAGAAGCTCACGAATGCGCAAGACAACAAACTCTTTCATTATGAGCTGTACCAGCTCCATTGGAATCCCCCTCACCTGGATAACAAAGTGCTCATATACGGGATCTTTACATGTCTCCAGTTTTCCATGAGGCCCACAGCCAACTGCAAGAATCACTGGGGGAACCAGGGTGTGACCTACCCTGAGTCATGGCTGGTATGATGTTCTGGTCCAATGCAATGCAACTCACTTCATTTGGAACTGCCAAGCTCTGGCCTACATACATGTACTTCAGGAATGAGTCGAAGTATCACCAGTGCAAGCTGTCATGTAACTTGAGCAACCATGTTGCTTACTTTGAAACAGTAAGCACACCGAACTTGTGGGCCTTGAGGTATACTAAAGGTTGCATCACCAACTTCCCGACTCATTCAAAGATTTTACTGGCAGGACCCACAAGGGTGCAACTCACTGTCATCACGAGTTATTTCAGGGGCAGTGGAATATCTTACTGGATGAAGAATTTCTAGAGGCATACACACATGGAATTGTCATTCGCTGTTGCAATGGGATAATGGATAGATTTTATCCTCGGATATTGATGTACTCTGCAGATTATCCCAAGAAGTGCGTGATTTATCCCTGGTTATATTATGTTGATTCTGATTTCACCAGAGTCCTTATAGCCATGGTTCGAAATTTAGGAGAGTGTCCATGTCCTCGTTGCCTCATTCCAAAGGATCAGATACAAAATATTGGAAGGCTGCAGGATAGACAGCAATGCTCCACCCTGGAATGCAGTGCTCACCAAAGAGGAACTTTGGTTAGTGAAGCAAGGAGATTGATTTATGAGAGTAACTATGCAGTCAACAGCACAGCAGTGGAATGCATTCTCAAGCCACACTCCTGGGTCCCTACCTCTGTGAGACTTGATTCCCGATTGCTGACAAGTACTAACCATGTCTCAGAATGCTTTCATAGATCACCTCAGTCCAATGGGATTCAATATCTTTCATGCTCTGGTAGTGTTAAGAACCATGCTCAAGGGAGAGAGAGACTGACTCAGAGGGGCTTGGCCTCAGCTCATACACTGTGCCCCTTACCTGAGTATGTGCCCTTCATTTCAAAGGAAGTCTGATGATGGTCCAACAAAGTCCAGAGGACTTCTGGAGGCTGGCTACTCTGGTGGAGAGTGCAGGAGGACTTCTAGAGGAGCACGGGAGAGTTCTGGAGGAATGCAGGAAGTGCTCAGGAGAGTTCCCACTGCAAGGAATACTTCTACAGGAAACAGGATGGAAGGATAGGAGGTCTGGAGGTCCAGAGTATGGAGGACAGAAGGTCCGGAGGTACAGAGGACAGGACATGGAGGTATGGAGGATGGAACATCTGAAGGTACGGAGGGTGGAATGTCTGAAGGACAGGATGCCCAGAGGTATGAGAGACAGAGGTCTGGAGGTACAGAAGACAGGAGGTCCAGAGGTCTGGAAGGAATAGGGGCCACATCGGACAAAGTCCAATGCAGAAGCAAACAGAGGTAGACTACCCTAAGGTAGAGTTGGAGGGACAGGAAGTGGACCTAAGTCCAGAAAGAGGGTAAGTGCTGGAAAGGCAAGACTCTAGCCTAGGAAAGCAATCCCTAGACTTGGGACAGAGACATAGGGGACAAATCCAAAGGTCTGGAATTCTGGCCTAGGGAATCCATCCCTAGGCCTTATGAAAAGGACAAACTCAGATGGACTGAAGTCCGGAAGAAGATTGGGCAGATCTAAGGTAATGAACAGGATCTAAGATGAGAGAGCAGGAACTAAGATGATATTCAGACTGAGGACTCTACTATAGTTGTATAGGGGTTATATACTAGAGGCTATCTGAGAGGATCAGTAAGTAAAGGGGTAAGGCTATGTATGAGCATGCGGAAACACATTGGTAAGTAAGATGGAACATAAGTAAATGAACTCAGAGATGAAACTAGTACAAGGATCAATCATCAAGATGGAAACAGAGATAACCAAGAACTGGAAAGGTGGAGATGTCTAAATGGGGATAGGTGCAGGATCTTGGATGGAGGGCATGGAATAGGTCTGGAGATCTGGGGATCCAGAAGGCAGGGCAGAAACAGGACTGAGATATGTGAGGTGGTGGATGTAGTCTGGAATCCAAGAGGAGGTAAAGTCCAGATGTCTTGCTGGATGGAATGTGCATAGGGTGGACAGGATAGGGGATCCAGGAATGAGTCAGATATGGGGTCCGGAAATAGGTCCGGAAAGCGTGGGAATATGATGGGATCTATGTCTGGCATATGGGATATGACAGGTGGTAGATCTTCTACATGAGTTTGAAATTGGTGCATGGAAAATGCTATTTATTCACTTGTTGCGAATTATTGTTGCATATGACAAGAGCTTAATTCATTGATTGGACAAGAGGTATGGTGTCAGATACCATGTTGCTGGTAGTGTTGAGCTGACCTCTACCATCAGGTATAGGCAAACCCCGACGTTTGGCACAGCCACCATATGAAAGTTTTCGTCTAATGCTTCCAAGATGAAACATATGGTGGCTCAAAACTTTGAGGACCTCCTCCAGGTATAAGTTCACCACATATTGATATTGAATAGGACACTGATGCGCTATGTACAGTGCTCTATCCCTGTCTCTGACAATCTTCTTCCTGAACCACATAATGGAATTGTCCTTCAGTTACTATTTACCATGGCTCATTGGCATGGTCTAGCTAAACTCCGCATGCATTCTGATCTAACTCTCAATATCATGGATGAAGTGATATCAGCACTCAGGCAACAACTTTGTAGGTTCAAGGCTACAGTCTGTGCTGCATACCAAACCTGCAAGCTGTGCCAGGAGGTTGAAGTGCATGCCTGATGCAATGCAAAGAAGTCTGGGAAACAGCCTGCAGGACATAAAGGAAAAGGAAGCTCTTGCCTTGTGAAGCAAGGGCAGGCAGGAAGATCAACTCAGAATGATCAGTGAACAAAGACATTCAATTTTCAAACATACAAGTTTCATGCCTTGGGAGACTACATGTCTATGATTCACCAGTATGGCACATGTGATTCATATAGCACTGAACTGGTGTGTCCTATGCTTTTCAATGATGAACTTGACTCATTGACTTATTCAGGGTGAACTTGAACATTGTGCTCCAAAGGCCTGGTATCACCACACTGATCACAAGTCATTTGTCAAACAGTTGACTCAAATTGAATGCCGCCAGGCCCTGCATTCGCTGTATTGGGGACAAAAGTGTTCATCGCCCCCATATTGAGATTTCTGAGTTGGCGACAAGCCCTCATGCCCACCACCATATTGGTTTGACCCAAAAATACCCTGTACACATAGGATCGTTCTTGCGCAGCCACCAAGGAGATCCAGCCATCACAGTGAGTCTATTCATGCCCCATCAGGAGACTTCTTAACTGCTCCTGCAGTTTTTTTTTTCCAAATTGAAAGCCCATCTATTGTGTTGTTTTATTACATCAAGCAATTCCCTGGGTTCTAGCACTGAAAATAACACCAACACAATAATTATAAAGGACGATTGAATGTATCAGCATAACATCATGAGGTTTGATTTCACAACCTACAATGTTCACAGAGGCCAAGATGTGATCAACCTGAGGACTCCCCATTGTAATGTTATGGTTCTCCGTGCCAACACTGACATAAGGCATCAAGGTCACAAATATATGTATGGGAAGGTTATAAGAGTATATTACATCAACATGATTTTTATCGGACACAGTATGGTTGATACACTCCCCATTGAATGGAGTTTTTATGGATATGTTGGTATGCACCCATCGATCAGGACTCCACCTGGGAGACTCTGGACCAAGTGGACTTTCCGCCCCTAGAGGATGAGCACTCATTCAACTTCCTTGATCCCACAGATGTACTCAGGGGCTGTCACATTATACCTTGCTTTGCCAGTGGCAAGAGACATGTCGATGGATTGGGTGCATCAGCAAGTGCAGGAGACAAGGATGATTGGTGCAAATACCTTGTCAATTGGTGAGTCACTTGTACCATATCATTGTCATATGTAGCATCTTTATGACATTTTTATGTCAGATTTGTTGACCGCAACATGCTTATGCACTTCCACTTCAGGCTCGGTGTTGGGCATGTGTACTCTCACCACCTCGCTCCACAGGCTGAAATTCAGCAAGATAATATCACAGTGCAGTCCATGTCCACTTCTCATGTCGCAGAAGATGATGAAGATGCCAGAAACTCTGGAGAGGATGACGAAGGTAGAATTGATGAGGAAGATGATGATGATGATAATCCAATAGTGAATCCTGAACAGTGGCATGGTAGTAGCCAAGAATCACTGTTGGAACAATACAAGAAGATGTACGCAAGTGAGGTAGGATTCAATTATGAAAATTAAATAATGTTACAGTGAAAAACATAACTACACTCCATCCATGCCTACTCTAGACACTTGATGGCATTGATCTCGGCTAATTCAGTGTCCATTTTAGAGTACATATAATATTTGATGGACAGGATCTGCTTTGAGATAGCATTGAGGCGATTTTGCATGATCTAGCATTGAATTAGAGTTTCAGAGAGGTACACCCAATAAAAAACTCAACAGTGATCTAACTCACAAATCCATCACCCTTTCCTCATCTTGCCAATAGCCCACAGCTTTCTTGTCCAATGCTCATGATCACTATATGGACCCACCTGCGATGCTTGACTCATTTTTGTTTGACAATCCCAGCCTCATGCCCAACTCTGTCAGTTTTTTGTTACCTCCCCAACTCAGTAAACCTGCTCACTCAGTTCTTGCAGGGCAATTTCATTGATCTGAACAATATTGACTTCATCAGTTATTTGTCTGTGGGACATGGGCCAATGCTGTACCCTCTATATGTAAGTACCCATGTTTCTGAAGTTACAAACATTTATCATTGTCAGCCTAGTGTCGACCAATGCTACATAATGCTGTATGTGGTTGATTTTGTGGGAGGTTACATACTAATTTTCTTCTAGTTGACAGTACACATCTCACTCTACGCTTATGTTCTCACATCAATCATCCATCATTCAGTGTTCAAGACAGAACAGATGGCGGGAGTTCCCATATATGTCAATTCTGTAAGTGAAATCTCTACTGCATTTGCGGTCCCACTGAGCAGTTTTGCAGTTTTATGCTGTGAATGCTCAGTTAGATCTTCCTGTGAAGTCCACGAGGGCAGGTCCCGACAACCGATTCTATGTTGTATATGATGGCGTAAGTCTGCCTTTCAAATCTATAAGTATTTCGCCTGATAATATATTGTAGGTTAGTTCTAATGTTTCTAGTACTGTCATTCATCTCGCCCTCCATCCCACTGGTTATTACCCTTGGTCCAATGTTGACCTCACAGCCTTTCAGGCTATATCAGATGCACACAACAGTGGCAGTATCCTGATCATTCCCACCCTCATGATGCCAGGCAATGTAAATGCTCCTGACAGTGCAAATGGTGACGAATATGAGCATTCAATACCTGGAGACCCAGTCAGTGCCCTTGCATCTCCAACAGTGACATCAAACTTGCTGACCATCTATTCCTGGATTTTGTGCTCAGGCCAATTGGTGCACAGCACCCCTGCCAGTGCCCATCAATCTCAGGCAGGTGGTGGATCAACTCAGACTTCCTTGCAACAAAAGGCAAAAAAAGCTGCTAAAGCTGAAGGAGGCCTCAAGAATGTCATAGGGAGATTACCAAAGTGGAGGAAGGCCTTTGCCTACCTCTGGATTGAGTTAAGAGTATCAGTTTGCACAGGTGAAATCAGAAACCCCCACCTGTTCAATTTTGAAAGCTGGGCTGCAGCTATTCAGCTAGTTTGGCCTCATGCTCTCTCCCAGGCTAACATCGACTCCAGTGATTTGGAAATAGGTGGGCAGCTAAATCTCACTGACACACTAGACATGCTGACTGCTTTTCAGTGAAGTTGATCAAAACTGGCACTTACATGACTCTTGAAAGTATATTGGAATTTGTGCGAATTAAATTTTACTTCCATTGGCGTAGCTCATCCCAGAATAGATCAACCCATCGCTTTCAGAGTTTGTCTACAATATCAAGCACCTGGCATTTCACTTGATCGGCAACTCTCATGGAGGCTTTGGTTTTGATGACTTGGGTGTGGGTATCTTATTGATTGACACAGTCCAAAGACTGCTCCAGCTGTTCATCAGACCAAAATCAAATATCCTGCCAATTAGTGTGAGTGTCCTGCATTCCTTCAGTCATTAATCTTATTTCACCTCACAGCTTAATGGTTTTGCCTGGTTCCTCACCCACCAAATTGCCAAAGAGATCATGTGGCATGTTATTTTCCGTCCGACTACCTCACACTCTGTTTGACTGGTGTTGGCCGATCTAGAGCCAGCAACATTCAGGAGTGAAGAGCATCCACCCTTTCCGACTATGTCTCTACTGGGGTCCAGTGTAAGTCTCTTTCCACTGTGTTTTTCATTCGCTTACGACGTCTTTAAATGTTACAGTGCTCTCTTGGATAAATATTCAACTTTGACAAAAATACCCGTCGACCTACTAATTCAGTATCCAACCCTGGCTGAGGTGTATGATCAGCTCTACAAGATGGCTGTAGTACTTGTCAACGAGCATGATGATGAAGATCACCCAGGACTCATGTCTAGCTTGACCAAATTGTGCAACATTTCATAAGTTCATTCTGAACCTGTTGTATTGTTGCCTGATAAGAAGACAGGGTCAATGAAGTCCACCGACTTGGCTGAATGCATGATTGACCGATATACTCATGAATGTCACCTATAGTAGTCTTGTAACATACATTGGTATCTGTTTTTTTTGCAAACAGTTGTTTTGGATATTAAGTGTAACAGGAGTGCGCCATGCTAAATGTATTGAGTGTGATCGTGCGGTTAGAATGTTAGCAATTCTGTGAGTCAAGTAAGCAATGCCAATGTTCACCTGCCCCATGCTCACAAATGCTGTATAGAGATCAAACAAAAACTAGATCATCTTCTTGTACGTCAAGAAAACATTAATTGTCAAACACCTAACAAACAACACACGAAACACTTGGTATACTAAGCCAGACACGCTCCCCTCAAACATTCTCCAAACCTAGGATGTGCTCAATTTCATCTAACTCATCCCACAGCTTCCTCAAAAAATCTCACTTTTCCTCGACCATGAGGGTGAGGATACATCTGTCCCATCACGGCATTGAGACGGGGAGGTGGTGCAGCTGCGCTTCATATGGATGGATTCACATGCATTCAATCAGGATCACATTTGTGTAGTCCCAGAAAGCCTAGTATGTATAGATAGAATGAATTAACCACACAAAAACACTGATGACAATCAGAACTTACCATTGCAGTTGCAGTAATTGCAAATCCAGGCTGCACCTCATCCTATTGCTGTCCCTGTTGTATATTGTTGTCAGACCCTATGTGTCATACTCACTGACGATGGTTTCAACTCACCATTGCAGATGTTGGGGGCACAAACTCATCCTGCACCTGATCCTCCTGCTGCCCATGGTCCTCCTGCTGCCCCTGTTCCTCCTGTTGCCCATGGTCTCCCTGGTTTCCTAGCAGTGCCTGTTGCAGGACATCATTAGCCCATTATGTATCTTACACAACGCGTTGACTATTACTTACATGATAGTCATTGAGAAGTTGTTGAATCTGCCTCAGATTGCTCAGTTAATCCCCACACATCAAACATCATCAAAGACTTCCATCAATCTCATTGGCGTTCTCTTCAGCCATTGTGTGTGGAAGGAGTATAGTAATGAAGATGCGCTTGATCAATGAAGTATGAGTCCTATTGCTGGTATGTACAAGCTTACATAATATGGCCAAACTTTGACATTCCATGAGCAAGAGTTTACCATCCTGGGGGATTCTTAGTTACACAAGGGTCAGTAATCAAAGAATTAACCAATTCATCAACGCATTGTTCAATGTGTGCAAAAAACTTGGTGCACTACTTTTTTGTTTTCTTCTACACTTCAACTTCAGGAGTGCGTCTCTGATTTCTCTGCAGCTTATACCCACCTTCAGCTTCAGCATCACAGCTCTCCTTACTTCTGTCGCCCACTGCAATCCATAGCACCTCAAGGTTATCTCTACTATTGGCATCAGGATCTTCTAGGAACTTGTGTTAGGGTACCAGAGCACCGCTTGCTATCATTTATTTTCATCCCTCCACTCAAATTCTCATTTCCGCAGTGAATGGTACTTCAAATAAAAGACTATGATTGTTGATTGGTTCATCTAAGCTATTCTGGACACAACCATCTCACCATGCTCAAGCACACCTCCACAGATGAAAACTTGAGGTGTATTCTCGAATGGCATGACTTTCCCCTGTGTCTCTCCATCACCACCACTAAACCCGACCTTCATCTTCCCTTTGCCCTTTTTTGACATGTCCAGAAAGTCAGCAAGACCAACAGCAGGCCACACATCTTCCTCTACTGCCATTGCCAGTGCTGTGCCTAATGAGTCCTGCACATCCACACCCTCCCAATCCACATCTGACATGATGTTCACCCATGTATAGTTCACTGGCTGAGGCTTCATCTTTTTGTCCTTCTTGTCCCTGGTGGGCCTGGCAGTTGCCTGAGAGAACTTGGCATCATTGTGGGCTTGCAAGGTGCTTTTGGCATTACCGATGTGAAGCGCCCACATGGAAATGATCAGCTTGCAGTGGATACACATGGTCAGGTGCAGTCGCCTACCAGCGTGGTAAACTGCCCTTCAATATTGGCTCGCATGGCATTGTGAACTAGAAGGCTGAGTAAAGCCCATCCAGCTTCCCAAATCTCACAACCCCCGATTGTGTCAATGACTGCATCAACTCCTTACATTTCCAGATCATGCCAAGGTATGTTGAACAATGAGATTAAACTCTTCAAGCATGTAACTGATATCTTTTCACCGCAGTATTTGGTCACTGATGTCTGCTGCATCATCCAGTCGAAAAATACAGATCTGTAAAACTTGTTGAATCATCAGTATGATTTCTTCGGTCTCATTTTAGTAATTAATTCATTTTAAAGTTTGATTGCTGCATCAGCATGCCATTGTGTCCAAGCTAGGACAACATTGATGTGCACCATCACTTCCAAAATTCTGGTATTATAGGGTATAACCATTCAACGATCATGTGAATATCCCACAAGGCCCTTGCTCCCTACATACTTTTCAATATGTCAAATATCATTTCAGCTTCTCTTTCTAGGTCCTGGCCACCTTTGAAAACCTACTTGTTGGAAATCAAACATGCCGAGAATGCTCTGAGATTATGGCTCCAGAATTTCAGGATTCATGTCGTACATAGTATGCTCACAGTAATTTTCATACCATTCATCCACAAGTTCACATCCAGCTTCCAGACTTCTTGTACATCTCAGCATCCGTGCTGTTTGAATCAGTCAACCCACATGATCTCATAGCTCTCCTCAACATGAGCATCAAGGAGCTTGCTACACAGACGCAGCTCCAGCAAGAGGACAGTAGCATGGTACTTTTTCTGCAAAGAGGGACGTGCTTAATGGAGGAGAGGATGTACCAAGCACAAATGGAGGTTTCATTATTCAGTAAAGCCATGGCAAACTTGTGCAAAAAACTGAACATGACAACTAATTCAACTAATTCATGTGAGTTATTCTATTCAAAAGGTCATATCCAAAAAATTCAGTCTCATTCCTAGCCACATCATGCCTCGCTTCAAAGACACTGCCCATGGATGCTGTCAGGTATGAAGGAGTAGATGAAGAGTTTACCTCAGTCAAATTCGACTGTTCTAAACACATGCAGGCCACCCAATCCAAATGCATGACATGGCTTTCCACATGCCACAAAGCATCGCTTCTGACATCATCACATTTTAACAACACTACAAATGTTGGCAATAAAACTAGCCAAACACTTATTGACCCTTTACAACATCCAAATTTTTCTCACCACCAGGAAAAGCTCTTTAAGGCGAGTATTACTAATACTATGAGTGGCCTGGTGTACTGATGTTGTGTAGCCTGGTGAATCAATCCTTTACCTACCCGGTTACTTGAAAGCCCACATTGATGATGAGGCATGTTGTGCATATGCGAATGCATGCTTTGCAGAAATCAACATGCCCCTAGGCATCAGCACCAACAAAAGCAACATCAACAGCTTCAAAGCAGTGAGTAAAACACTAGATGAACTCAAGCATGACTTTTGTATTATGTACTTGAAGAAGCAACATGCACAGTCCAAAGTGGACATGTTATCTGAAGCCATAGCATGCACTGTTGGTGAGAATGGAAATTCTGTTTTGGTGTTTTTTATACTAACATCTAACATTACCATCAACTTGTCAGAAGGCGCGTCTTCTGCAAGTGCTACAACAATCGAATCACCCCTACCTGACAATGATTTGTTTGACAATTGGAATTCAGCCTCATCCCTATCTTCCAACTCTGCACATCTGTGAGATGTGCTATCGTTGTTTGTACCGGTATTTATCTTTTTCAAAGTTCACCACTTTCATTTACATTTAAGTATCTTCTGTTGTACATTGGCCTTGGTTGAGTTTATATTATTCCTGCTGCCTTTTTCATCGCTTGTTTTTTTTACCAATTACCATCTCCCCAGCCCAATGATGGCACTTTTGACAGGCAGACGCATGTTCCACCTATGACATGTATATTGGAGTTATGTCTACTCGCCTGGTGCAAGGTACTGCTCATCATCTCCAACTCAAGTGTACTCCTATCATCCTTTGACTCAAATCACTTGCGACCATGAGCTTCACCACAATGCTTAACCCTCCCCCCCTCCACCCTACTATCTTTGTTTATACAACAGTTACTTTTACCCGTTTCTTTGAACCCTGCTTCTAGTGTGCAGATAACATGCACTAATTTACATCATGTTGGAATTCACACTGTGTGCCTCATATGAACCAGAATAGCATCCTCATTGTTTTAAGTTAATGGATGTTCTTTTAGGACTCGCAGAGGGATGGTTCTGATTCTATATTAGTTATTAGGTACCTTGCACAGTTGTATTATGAGCAGGTCCATTCTAGATTTTTTGTGTGTTCAAATTGATCAGCATCTAATCATTGTATGATCTGGTGGGCGGGAGTGCCGGGGGTCCTGGTGCAGTGGCTGGAGTCCTGGCTTGTAGGTATCCACTGTAGAGGTTTGGCCTTGAGTTTCCCTTGCAGTCCATGCCGGTCCACCATCACACACACATCTATGCTTGCACATCATATCCAACACTCTTACATCTAATCATCTCCCCAAACATGACTCACAAAGGCCAACCAAGCATTCGCAACACACCTTGCCAGTGTCCTCCAACAAGGAGACCTTGTATGGGTCCATGACTACCATCTCTTGTTAGTTCCTTGCATGCTCAAGAATGTGGTGCATTCTGGTGCTGTGAGTGGTGTGAGTGGAGAGAATGGTGGGGATGTGTGAGTGCTTTTTTAACGATAACAGCAAGAGTACTGATATACTATGCATAGGGTCATTGGTCTTTTTCGTGCACATGCCTTTCCTGAGTTCTGAGGTGTTTAGGTGTTTAATGTGTACATCCTCCCCCCTTCCTCACACCTCTACATTCCTTCCTTGATTACCCTAATCAGCACACTAACCTAATGCACCTCCCTAGGCCGCAAAGAAATCCTTGATGGAATGCTAGGCACCAACCTCATCTGTTTTCAAACCTACAGCTACACCCGCCACTTCACTTCCACCTGCATTCGTGTGTGCAGGTATGAGACTACTAGTAGGGGTGCTATGGCTGCATTGCTAGTGCATCAAGAGGTGCAAGCATTGCTCCACATGGTGCTGGTGGTGCAGGCTTGAGTGGTGCGAGCTAGTACCAAGGCAATTCTCAGTGTACCCACCCGCGGAGCAAGCCTCATGTGTGGAATCAAAGTGGGTGTTGAGAAATATGTAGGCATTGACATGCTGGGACATGTAGCTGCTGTTACACATTGTCTGGTTGGGGTGGATGTGGAGAGGGTTGTGAGGGATACATGAGTTCTTTATTTGATTTTATGTGATGGGTGATTCTGATGCGCATATATGCAATTCGAATACACACTTCAACATACACGAACCCTAATGCATACACACACACAAATCATAACTGTGCACATGTACACAAAACAGCCTCTGTGCAGGAATACAACCTAAACTCAAAGCCCTTCATGTGCTCTATGAAGACAAGAATATCATCGCAGGAAGAGGCAAGTTGGATGTTGTCAAGGGGGTTTTGCAAAAGGTGATCTTTCTTTTTTTTCTTGTGCCATTGACTGACATCATGAAAACTGACACTATAACACCAGCTCCATGCATTTGAGAAGCTCTTGCATGATTATCCAGAGTGGCAGCACAAAGTCTTGCTCATTCAGGTATGTCTAGTCATTCCATTTGCAATTCGCAATGGAACAACATCAAAAGTACAATACAACAAACTGATAAATGCCTCTTCACAGGTGACACCCCCTGTGTTAACAGACTCTCCAGAGCTCAAATGTCAAGTTTCTGAACTCGTTGCACATATCAATGGGGAATATGGGAGTTTGGATTTCATGCCCATACACCACTAGTGCATGTCCCTTTCATCACGTCTTTATGTGTCTAATTCATGATTCATACCACATCTAATCCCTTCCTGTACCCTAGTCCACATCACACCTAACTGCTGCCACCAAACCCCCTACAACCATCAAACCCTCAGAAAGGACGAATTTTATGCACTGCTGAGCACTGCAGACCTCAGGGTGATCACACCCCCAGAGACAGGCTCAGAGAGCTGTATGGCAATGCTGGGAAGTGTCTGTTCTTGTTTGATTATGACATGAGTGGTGGGTGAGGGATGCAGTATTCAGTGTTGACATTTGATGGATAGGACACACTCATGCTGATCCTCAAGATGCCATTTGTGGCACTTCCCTCTCCTGATGCACTCACTGTGCTCGTGAAGCTTACATCTGACCCAAACAATATTGCATACATCATTTCCAGTCAGGACCAGGCATTCCTTGAGGAACATCTAGGGCACTTCCTGTGCCTTGGGATGAGCATGGAGCATGGTAGATTCATCCATTCACCTGACAGCACTGTGTGGATGAATTTCACTGCAAGTTTGGACATGGGATGGAGGGAGGAAGTGGCGGAGATTTTCAGGTATCATACAGAGTGTACAACTGGGAGCCATATATCAAGATGAAGAAGAGCTCTATTACTTGGCATTATTGGTCGACTGAACCAGAGTGGGGGTGCATGTTCTGGTTCGTGTTTGTGGATTTCATTGGGCTGATGGTTGTGGGTTGCAGACAGTTTTAGTGCAGGCAGTGCCAGGATTTGTTAGAGAATAATGTGGTGTCCAAGAGCCCAATCAAGATGCTCATGAGTAAGAAGAATCTGGAAGTGAGGCCTATTGCTGTGAACAAGGTTTGTAGGCTTGGTCTTTAATGTACATGCTAGACTAATTGTTCTCTGAAGGGTGAGATCGTCAAGCATATATTATATCAGAACCCTGGAGTTGAGTTCATCTTCTGTGCTGGTGACAACAAGGTCCGTTCTACTGCTCCTTTCCCCATCTTACTTACTCACCCCCAACAGACCAATGAAGACATGTTCTGCGCCCTGCTCCTCTTCTCACCTTCCTCAATTGGTAAAGTCACAATGGAGCCCCCACTGTTGGTGATGCTCATTGACGACACTGCCAAGGAGTACAGTGATGTAGAGCTCATGGTGTCTCCAGAAGCTGTTTTTATGACTGCTGTTGGACATAGTAGCAAATGAATGCTTGTGAGTTGGCATGTGATGACACCTGAGGAGGTGGTGGAGCAGATGTGGTATTTGGTTGGGGAGACTCCTCAGGGAGAGGAGGTGAAGGGGTATTTGTAAGTCATCCATTGCATAGGGTTTTTTTTCATCTTGAGATACTGTTGTGGAATATTATTGATGTGCTTGTGCCTTAGAGTTTCTATAGACCAATAGTTATTGTTTTGATTTCATCAATGCTAGGAGTTTGGTGCACAGGATGTACAAGGGGCTTCTCAGCTTATATTCAGATGTAAATACTTGCAAGTTGTGTGTGCTGCTTGTCACAATTTATGTGTAGCTTGGAGTGCTAATCAATTATACATTATACTTACAAGTGATCCCTTTCAGTCAGCACTATGCAGTATGTGGTGAGTGGCGAGCGCAAGCTAGTATCTATAGGATGCTTAAGTCTACTGTAAATGCTCAGCCATGTTGGTAATGGCCAGACAAGCAGGCTGTCACGATTGTAGTTCTTGCACCTTCTATGCAATTCAGATAAGATATCTCACTAATTAAAAAATGTTACAGTAGATTATAATTCTACTAGAGATGCAATGACCTGCAGCCATGCAGTTATCTCACTGTTGTTTGCTTACAATATGCACACCAAGATGGTATTTCTCCAGCATAGTCTTATCTCATTTTACCTATGTGTTACACCATAATAAAATTATCTAAGGTTAAAAAATGATGTGTCATAATGAGTTTTGGTTACCAATCCTGTCTAGTCGTATCAATTTCAGGTTGATTTCCTGATGCAGCATATTACCATCTCCATCCTGATTGCATTGATACTGCCAAGGCTTTGCTGGTGAATCATATTTACCATTATGTGCAGCATTTTGATGTAGGTTTTATATTCTATTTTGTATATGAATTTCCCAGCATTGCATGCTGATGCACTCTCTAGGAAAAAAATGACCCCATTGCGCAGGCAACAAAACCTTACTCTGTGGATATCTTGCCTTACTTAATGAAGGGATGTTACTTCAATGGGTCAAAGTCAGTTGGTGTGAAATTCACAGACCATTTTAAGAAGATTGCAGGAAACAAGGCCCAACAGCCTGAGGTAACAATTCCTATGGTTGCTTTGACCAGCACTTTGGTACATTTTAGGTTCTTGATCTACTCTTGGTCCATATATTAACAAGTGTGTACTACTAGGTGTATACTGTGCTCTTGTAGAAGTCCAGCAAATCTCACTCCAAGTTCAATTTCACTGGGAACCAGTTTAGTGAGGTCTATGCATTCCATGTGAACTTTCTCAGCAAAATGGAGGAGAATGCACCGAGCAAGTTCCACAAGTTGATGGCCAACATTTTTGAGGCTGTCCAGTAAGTTCATTATGCTCCAAATATGCCATGTTGACTAATTCATCTCAAAAGGAAACTCTGCTCTAATGGTGCTGCTGCAACATTACATGAAGATGCGATGACTTTCCTCAACCTTGATGGCATGGATGATGTTGAGTAGCTTTGGATGTCCTAGTTGTGGTCTCACTTTACATGCTGCTTATTGGTTTCACTATAAATATGCTCCATTCTCTCTCATTTATCAGTTGCTATAATTATGCACAACCTATGTTTGCATACCCTCATTTAATCAAACTCTATTTTGTTCTTGTAAACAACACAAATTCCTGGATGAACATTCAAACTGATAGTCAAGCACTCTTGGTTGTAAGAACATAATTATCACTAATTTAGCATGCATAAAAAATTGCTCATGGGGCAGTAAAAAAAGTCTCTCTAAACTGCTAAGTTGTCTATTTTATTGAAATTATCATAAATTAGAGAAAATTTGACATACTTAGTTTAAATTTGCAGTAGAGGGTTTTCCTGATGCTCACAGAAGATGTTTATGAGGTAAAGCCTAGATACAGTCCCACGACAAGACACAGCACATACAATTCATGAATGATGAATCCATGAAGACAACACTAAGGGACCATCATCCCAAGTAAACTTGTCTTGCACAGCAAGTAATTGTGTGCAAAAGGGAAGAGAGTGGGTCCAAGTCCGATGGTGATGGTGATGGTAGTAAGTTAATACTTAGGAGATGAGGCTGTTGGCAGTGTTGCTGTTGACATTGCAAAAACAAGATGGTCTAAATAGGGCCCATAATGGAAGGTGCAGATCATAGCTACCAGATCAGAAATGAAGTTGCGGGATAGAGTGATATCAGCATGCTGGATAATGGAATGTATGTGTGATGCTTACATATGGATTTGAATCTGATGCAGATGCAGGTAGGGATCCTCACAGGTTACCCACAGGTATATTGGCAGGTTTTGAGTATTCTGAGGCATAGTCCTTCATTCTGGCTTGAAAACAAAAAAAAAATCATGCAAAATGGACCAGGATTGGGTGAGATATGGCTGGAACAAGTTTTAAGCAAAACCCTGCAAAGCTCATCCCTCCACATCTGAATCTTTGAGAGAGAGTCAACCAATTTGTGAGTTAAATGCATTAAACCTCACAAATTGGTTGACTCTCTCAAAGATTCAGATGTGGAGGGATGAGCTTTGCAGGGTTTTGCTTAAAACTTGTTCCAGCCATATCTCACCCAATCCTGGTCCATTTTGCATGATTTTTTTTTGTTTTCAAGCCAGAATGAAGGACTATGCCTCAGAATACTCAAAACCCACCAATATACCCATGGGTAACCCATGATGATCCCTAGATGCAGGCTGGGTTCTTAAGGTTATGACGCGAGGTAGTACGTGAGTTATTTAGCAAGATAATATTTCCAGTCTCCTGTTCACTCACTAGTTCTGCTCTCGCAGACTCATCTATATACTATGTGCCGCTAATAATAAGTAGCCGAGTCCGTATGTACCAATGTACGCTTATTAATGAGTCCGTGTACCGTATTACTAATGTTTGGCTCGTGTTTGATTACTAACTACAGTGACTGCGCTCGGACTTGTACATGTCCGGCACATCACAACACGGGTCGGTGCAAAGAGAGGATTCATATTATGATTGTGATGAGTGGTGCTGTGTTAAGACCAGTGAAAGAACGTTCTGGGTATTGGCAGGTGTAAACATTGACGATATACCCCTGGAGGGGTAGCACCGGCGAACAGAGAGTGATTGTATCTACGGTCTTTTACGGTTGAACAAGAAACTGTCACTTAAGAGTATTCGATTTCGGAGTATATCCGTTCAATTAATATTCAGGGTACTTGGGTAGTTTTAACGAGTAGTAGAATCTAAGATATAGTGATTTACGCCTCAGGTGAGGCCACCGAGGACACAGGCTTGTTGCAATTCCGTCACCTCTATGAGTACTTGATTTCATGGGGAACACCTCTATTTACAAGAGCACCGCAAAGACGGCGCAATCGGAAATGAGTTGCTAAATTATCACCGGCACCAACGAGTGGAACGTTCCTCACGTTGCAAATATTCGCGTGTGAAACTGGTTTGCGAATCAAAATCAACTTTGTGGCGCCAATTTTACTAGATTTACCATCTCACATCACTTGGACCAATCAAGGATCTTGAACCTCATGCCGATCTTGGCGATACAAGCGCTGAACGGTAGTATATCTAACACAAACATTATGTTGTTATAATCCCCAACATCCCCTACTCGCTCACACCCATCCCTCGAATATGACCATAGTCTCAAATGATCCCAGTTGGTGGCCGTTTATCAGTTTTAATACTTTTTACAGCTATTGGATGGGTTCGTCTTATCAGTTGGTCATGTCTCGATCTAACATTGACTTGTGGTTTCGCAGTTGCCGCTGGCGTCGTGGTGGTATATGATTGGGGTGAGTGGGACAGTGTTTGAATACCGCTGATGTTTTCATAATATTTCCAGTGCTATCACTCGGACAAGAGGTAGGTCGGTGCTATTGCCGGAGTAGCCAACTTGCTAAGAATGATGTTATAGATTGAACTGATCTGGGTGAGTGGCAGAGTCCCATATCAGAAGAAAAACAGGGGAATACAATGAATTTGCCATAGAGGCAACGCTGGTCTTTCATGACTGTGCTGTATTTGGTTGTTCGTACCTCATGCTATACTATGGCGTGGTTGGCAAGTTGTGCTCACCCCAAAACGTTCTAGATACGCTATATTGGAATACCATATTCTGTGTATGTTTTTAAGGCCAAAACCTTGGTGCTATACTGATAGCCTATCGCTCGTTATCAGTGTCAACTCTCTGCGTATGTCTAATATGCACTGTGTTCGATTCTTCTGACCGATAGCACACAGCATATATACCATTCGTCTCATTGACAGATGCAGTGGGTATTCCGCAACCATCTCATTCAATCTAATGAATACACTCATATGTAGGGGTGAGTGAGGTTCCGAATATCAAACTTGGCTCAATATAATGAACCAATAGGTGTGAGTCAAGTATTTGATCTTGGTACGAAGGTGGTCACTAATTGGGTGTTTCAGGCAATATTTTTAGCTATGCAAGGAATGCTACAAATGTGGTCGTAACTGCCATGCTGGGCGGTGAGTTGCAATACCTTAGTGATAGTATTGACTCGATTGAAACATGATGCAAGCTATCATGATTGCTCGGTTACATGCGATGTATCAGAGATCTAGGATAATGCTTATCTTCCTTGTCATTATCTTCCTGGCTGTAAATATCACCTGCGGAGTACTCACGGCAATAGGACTCAAGTATAATCAAGTAGGGGGTAAGCTTTACTTCTCGACTTGAAGAAAATGGCTCATTGGACAAACATCAGTGGAGCTGATACTCTCTGGTACACATATGTGCGGTATGGAATATGTGGGAGGAGTCCAGCTTTCGATGTCAATGGTTTGGACACTCAACACTGTTTGGGAGGTCCTCGCACTGTGTCTTTCACTCTGGATTGCTGTGAAACACTTCCTTGACCTGCGACGACTCGGCCCATCGACAGGATCGAACATAGGAGACTGTTTCAGAGTGCTGATAGAATCTCACGTGCTTTATTTTGCAAGGTGAGCTTGTAATGTAAATGTGCTTATCTGTTTTTGCTCAAGTTCCGCACCTGCCAGCTTTGTTTGTGTCTCTTGCCTCCAGCTTGTTTCTGTCTCTCCAGAGCTCTTGGTGCGCCGACTTGTCGCTGACATCTGTTTGTAATCACTGCTCATCATTTCTGTAGAATTCAAATGGTACGGGAGCTCTGGTACTCCTTAGTGCTCTTCAAACCTTATCGGGCGTGCAGTTATTTATACTGGGACCCCGCCTCATCCTCAGCGTTCGAGAATATCATGCAAAAATTGTGGCCGACTCCGACGCAGAAACTAGCATGAATTCGATTGTCTTCCAGGAGCGCCTACATGTACCAACTAGTAGTACTGTGTAAGGAAATGCTTACCAAGTGTCCTGCAGGGAGGAGATATTCGATCGAGGGTCTGTCGTAGTATTTATTTTAGTGATGATGTTTCAAAGTATATTTAAGACGAGGCTTATGTAGACAACCCATCTCTTGTTGTGTCACTACTGGAAGTCAGTGAAGCGCCCGCCCACACTTTCTTTTTTTTTAGACAAGCGATGTGTATTGGTAGCAACTGACTAAGTCTAGTTCTACGTTCACGCGCATATATAACGGGGTTTCAGGGAAACATCGGTCCGAGGGAAAATGCGTTTATGCACTCCCGCATTTTGCGGGGTGTGCCGCCCACGCTTTCACCAAGTGGCAACCTGAATTACCCGGACTGTCGAGCGACTAACCGAATTTTTGATGTCCAGACAGCTAATTCTGCGTGTTTTCGGAGTTCTGCTGTCTGAGCACAGATGATGAAGAAGTGACCGTGAAGCATGAAGCCCAGATGGCTGTAACCCATTGGTGCTCAGATGCATTTTCATCCATCTGGACCACGAAGAAGGAGCAGGAATGAATTGTGCGGACTCGTGGTTCGCTTGTGTGACTGTATCGCGAATCAGCATGGCAAAGAGATGAGGTGTGCAGAATGAGGGGTAGATAATTCGAGGGTCAGAGCCAACTACTAATGACATCGACCACGATATTCTGAAATCGCATCCATACGTATGTTGATCGGACCCGCATCATTGTAATGTTTCGCCCAAGCGACTGGAAATTGTGCGTCGGGCTTGTGTCCTTGCATTGATTTGCCGAAGCTCATCCTACCAAGCACGACCGTCAGAGTAAAGTACCGATCAAGATACATACACATGCATATACTCACCATTTGGACCGAACAAGTGGAAAGGTCGTTGAAAAGTAGAAGTAGTGCGTCTGAGTTCAGACAGCTGATATAGATAGCCCGAGAGTTCCGCAGCGTAATCGGACTCTCGCCTTCGATTGCAGACTGTCAAGGCAGACTGCCCTTGTTGGAATCCGAGAGTTCCGAGACGAGGAAGACCGATGGATCCGATCAAGGCACGCACAGTGAGTAATGAGAGGTAGAGGTACGAGCACAAGCCGAAAAGGGACAAAGGGCGAGCAACGCAGTGACGTCGGCTCGCGTCCTACTTTTTTTTCTGTTTCTTTTTTTTTTTTTTTTTTGGAAAAGCGAGTCTATTACGAAGCAACTGACACTGTCTAGCCCTTACGTAAAACGCTTATAGCGGCGCGCCGGCGCCGTCCGAGGGAAAATGCTACTTATGCACACTCCGTGTCGTGGAGTAGTGTGGGGCTCTGTATACTACCTGGTGTCCTCGGTCTGCGAGGGCCTGGGTAGTTTAATACCCACTAAAACCTCTAGGGTTGTCACCCATTCGTCATTATTTTGGTCTGTTGTGTTGTTTGTATTTATCTCGATTATGTCAGCCCAAGTTTGGGCAACTATTGTGATGGCCTTAGATGATCTTTTTGTTCGAGCTGCGATTGTGCGATCTAATTGTAAGCATCGGTTTATAGTGTTGATCCATCTTCTAGTGATGTTTTCTGTGGTGTGTGTTTGTCCTGTGATGGCTCTTTCACACCTTATCGTCCAAATGAGATAGGCTGACTCTGATAGCAGGATTCTAAGGAGGCAGGATATCCCTTTTGATTTTTTGGTGGAGTTTCGGTTTTTGTCATCTCGATTTTGGGGTTGTTGTGGGAGGGATAGCGCACCATAACCTAAGATTAGGCCTATTGATGGTTCTGGCCAAGGTCCATATTTCCTGGGCCATATTTTTCTTGTCAGGCTCCATATTTTCTTTTGTTCTAGGTTGTTGCAGTGAATGAGGATATGTTCCATTGACTCTGAGGGTTCTTCACAGGTGCTGCATCTAGCCCTTTGTTTGAAGGTAGGTATTTGTAGCCAGAACTCTCCTATTTTATATGCGTTGTTTAATGTTTTATAGATGAACATTTGTATCTTTTTTGTGATGTCCTTATGTCTGCAGCTTTTCCATATTGTTTCATCCATTTTGAGTGTGTTTGTTATGGTTTCTATGGCAGCTCTTGTCATACTTAGTAGGCCAAGGGTTTGTCTGTTATAATCTAGGTGTGTGTCCGCCATAAGTTTTCGGTACGCTAATCGTTGTGTGATCTGTGACAGTTTGGTGCCTTGTATGTCGAAATTTCTTGGTACATATAGGTCTATGGTATCGATGTCCACTTTTGTTGCTCCTATTTGTGCTAGTTGGTCAGCCTTTTCATTGCCTTCAACACCACTATGGCCTTTTACCCATTTGAAAGTTGTGGGGGTTGGTCGTCTTTGTAGATGGTAGGCTATCGCCTTGAACAAGGGGGCATTGGATATGCCTATCCACCCAGAGTCTTCCCAGCTGGTTAGGTGAGTGGTTAGGCCATTGATTACATATTTAGAGTTGGTTATGAATTTAATAGGTGTCTGCAGGTTTACGGATTGGAGGGCTATGAGGACAGCGACAAGCTCTCCAATTTGGTTTGAGTGGTGAGTGCTGGGCATGCTTATTGTGCAGTTAAGTGGGTGATTGTCTGTTATCCAGATACCTCCACCACATCTTGCGTTCTGTTTTCCATTATTTGTGCAGGAGCCATCAGTGAAAATTGTGAGTGGGTTGTTTTGGGGGGGTTGTCAGTTTTGAGGTATGCGAAGGTGGTAGGCTGGTATATGGATGGGTCTGGTTGGGTTTACGAAGATGTGGAAACCTTCTGATAGGTTATTTTCATCGTAGTGGATGGGTTGAAGGTGCATTCTTGTCATGGTTGTTTTCTTGTGTTTGCATTTTTTTCTAACCTCTGGTGTGTCAATGTCAGGTTGTCTTTCGTTGGTGATGAGTATGGGTTATACTTGGGTAGGAGGTCACAGAGGATCTTATCTCCAGTCATTGCGCATCTATGTGGATTCTTGCAGCCTTCAATATGGTCGTCTATGTAGTCTTTGCATAAGCAGGAGTCTTGTTGTTTATGTATAGCTTGGTTAGTCAGTCTCCTTGATATATTCTTTAGATCTTTCACTAATTTTACATTATGTATTTGTTTTAAACAAAGGTTTTTAATTTTGTGGTATGTTTTAGGTGGAGCGCTGACGTGTTCCCAGGCTGGTAGTTGCTCTTTAAGGTTGCTTGATATTTTCAGAGGTGCGAAACTGGTGCAGTGTTTTTTGGCTGTTTTTAACATTGTTGTGATTATCGGTGGCAGTTTGTTCACTCGCTTTCCTTGTGTTGGGGGGGACCAAGATGTGAGGAATGCTCTTGGGTCTGTGGTGTTAGTGGTGTCATCCAGTTTCATGCTGTTTATCATGGCGTCAACTACGAAGGTCCATGTTGGCTGGTGAGTTGATAAGTCCATGTATGACTTCAGCCATGTAATATTGATGGCTTCGTTTCTTTTCTTAATATTGAGAAGGTCTAGGCCTCCTTCAGCGATTGGTCTTTCTAAGTGCTTGTTGCTGATTGGTGGTGTTTGCTTCTCATTCCAGATGAAGTCTCTAATTTGTTTTGTGATCGCGTTTTCTATAGATTTGGGCATTCCTTGTGCCTTCACAAGGAATTACATCATGCCACCTGCCACCATTTGGACAATAAGTTTTTTCCCTGTAAGTGATGGATGACCAAGTTCCCATCTTTTGAAGTTCTTTTCTATCTTTCCTAGGATCAGCTCCCATGATGTTGCGTGCTCAACATTGTTTCCTATCCAAGTGCCAAGTGAACATATTGGGTTTCTGTCTTAGGCTATGCATATCTGGTCCTGCCATGGATTATCTCTTTCATTGAGTTTTCTTGTTTGGATCACACATTGTTGATGTTTGGTGGTTCCTATTGGTAGGATTTCAGTCTTTCTGAGGTTAAATTTTGCACCTGATGCGCTACACCAGTTTTGTAAGATGTCTTCTAAGTCAGAGTAGCTGTCGTTATGGGTGAGGTATACTGTTGTGTCATCTGTGTACATATTGACTATTATTCTTTCAGGTTACACCAGGGATTTTATATCCTTTTATTTTCAGGGAGTTATGCAGTGCACACACTAGAGGCTCAATGGCTATATTGAAGAGCAGGCACTGATAGGGGGTCTCCTTGTCTTACCCCACATGTGACTTTAAATGGTAAGCTTAAGAAGCCATTTATGGCTACTTTGGTATATGCTGACTCATATAGGCTTTTAATGGTTTCAATGAACAGCGGTGGGAGTCCAAAGGTTTTTAGTGTTTTGAGGAGGTAGTTGTGGTGGATTTTGTCATAAGCTTTCTCTTGATCAAGGGCTACAATTACTCCATCTTCTTCCATTAGATCGGCATAAGCAGTCATTACCTGGGTCAAGCAGATTGGGTCGAAAATAGATCTTCCTTGGACAAAGCCGCTTTGATTGGGGTGTATCATTGTTCTAATGTGTTTTGTTAGTTGTATGGCTAGTGCCTTGGTTAATATTTTGTAGTCAGTGTTGAGTAGGGTTATTGGGCGATAATTTTCAATTAAAGTTTGGTCATTTTTCTTGTATAAAGGGCACATCCAACCTAAAGTGAAATCAGAGTCTGTATGGACTCCATGTAATTGTATATTGTTTATGACTATGGTAAGGGTCTTTATAACATTAAATCCAGGTTCTTCATTCCTGCACACTTCTTTATACACGTCATGGAGATGTTTCCACAGTTCATATGGGATCCTGTTGATTCTGGTTGTGCTTCCAGAGTGTGATGACATAAGTGCATATATAATACATTCTTCCTTCAATAGTTTGTTCATTTGATTTGTCAGTGTGCTGAGTTTTTGGTGGTCTGGTATTTCTTTGAGGGCTGTTTCTCTTATTTGTTGTTGGTTGTCAGTATTGAGTGTGGGTACATCAATTAGTTGGATGTCATTGTGGTATGTCCTTGCTATTTCTGCCATTTCTTTGGACTCCATGGTGAATCTATTTGATCCTGGTATTTTGAGTTGGTGGATTATGTCCCATGGTACCTTTTGTTTGTTTATCCTTGACCAATATTTGCTTATTGATTCCACGTGGATTGCCCATTTCGCTCTTGCTTTAAGCTGTGCTCTCTTGTTTTTTTTTTTTGTAAGTGATTGATCTCTTGCTCTATTAGTATTCTATTTATTCTAGTGTTTTTGGAGGTATCTATGTCTTCCGCATTTGAGGTTTTATGTAGGTCTTTTGTTAGTGCTTTGATTCACTGATTTATTCTTGCTAGGTGCTTCTTCATCGTTTCTCTGGCTGCAGCTGTTATTTTATTTTTGAAGGTTTTCCACACATTTTGTGGGTTTACTTCATTCAATCTGTGACTTTGTGTGTCGATTTCTTGTTGGCTTTCCTGTCCTATATTGATGATTTGTTTGATCAGGTCCTTATCCATCATCACGCCGATAGGCCAAGTCCATCTTCCTTTGCCTATGTGGGGAAGGCCTGGGGGGCGAAACGTACTGACACCATGTGGTGATCGGAAGGTATTTGGCTTATATTCATATTCCAGTCAATCATACTCTCATTGTGTCTCTCTGATATGTAGATCCTGTCTAGCTGTGACAGTGTGTGGTGATTGCTGCTAAAAGTAAACACTCGATTGTGCAGGTGTTCATTTCGCCATGCATTGTGTACATTTATTGTGGTTCATAACTCTCTCAGCACATTTATTGCGTTTTCATTATCTAATCTTGCAGGGGCTCGGTCAATTGGGTTTTCGGTGATGTTAAAGTCGCCTAGCATGAAATCTATGGTGCCAGGGTTATGTTGTGACCATTCTGTTTTTATTTTATTCCAGAAGTTGTGGTGTTCAGTCACATTGTTTGGTGCGTACACATTTAGGATTCTTCTTGTTTCATTGTTATGCCAATTTATACTCAGGATGGCTGCTCTCCCAGGTATTAGTATTTCCATTGTTGTGCTTGACATGTTTGTTATTTCTCTATTTAGAACAAAGGCGATTCCTGCAGAACTGCCAGGTTGCAGTGGGTCGCTCATATTTAACACTCTTAGATGGTAGGGAGAATAAGGCTTCTATTTGTGTTTTGTGCTTGTTCGTTAAGTGAGTTTCTTGCATACATAATATACCTATCTTCTGATCATGCATGGTTTGGTTTACCACTGTCCATTTTGATGTAGAGTTTTGTGCGAGGTTGACAGAGGTATGTCCTTTCATATTTAATGTTGCTATCTTGATATTTGCTTGTGTTTTCTTTTCGTTTAGCATCGAGTTTTCTTGTTCTGTGTCTTGTTGTTTGTTGTGATGTGGGTTATTGTGCCTTTGGTTTATGTTTGCATTGTTGGTGTTATGTGGGGGTGTGGGGGGTGTAGGGATGTTCTTGTTTTGTGTGTGCCTGATGGGGCTTTGAGGTTGATGTTGGGGTCGCCTATGGTAGGCAAATCCACTTCCAGAAGACCCAGACCAGTCATTTGGGGACCTCCCAGTGGTACTGAGGTGGTCCCCCTCCACAGTCTGGGAAGCAAGCACTGTGACTGACAGAGAAACTGAAAGTGGGGGGGGTTGATTGTTGATTGGTGGTGATCGTATTACTAAGACTACTTTACAATCATTGTGTAGACTTAGAAAGGGCATATCCTGGCCTGATATCAGTGAGTTGTGTTAGCTTTTTCGATGTGTTCCAGTTCCCATGACACTGAGGGCATCTACTAGAGAAAACTTAAGCCTTTTGGCACAGCTCATTCTAACCTAAATAGGTTTCTGTGTTCTGGTTTGCACCATGCTTTGGTGAGACAACCACAGCTTTCCTGTCCCATTTTTACAAACAGTCAGTACACTTGGGCCGAGGTTTTGTTTTTCTAATTTGTGTCTCATTGTAATTGGACATATTTTATCAACTGCTCATGTGATCTTAAGGGTCAGGCTTAAGGTGGGAGTGTTGCATCATTTTGTTATGTTACGTTTTCTGTATGTTTCTGGTAGAAAGGACTGTGATTGCTGTATGCAGACTAAGGTGAGATGGATATGTAGGTGTATGAGGGTGTATCTGAGTCATAAAACTGAGGGGGGATTGAAGGTAGGTAAGTGAGGGTGGTTCTTAGTTAAGTATGTGCTATTCTTGTCGAGTATGTACTTCATGAATTAGGTCATGTCATGGTCAGGCATTCCGGTTGGGCCTGTTCTCCCTAGTTCTCCCATTTGGGCAAGATGTGTTGTTGCTGGTTCTATTGCCCACTTTTGGGCCGTTCCAGTGGGGGGTGAGTGGGAATGGACATAAACCATGTGGGTGGGCAAGGGAGCGGCAGATTTGGCAAGTGAAAAGAGCTGTCACATTTCTGCAACCATTGAGACTGGTTGAGTAAGTGAGTGAGCTTAGGTAGAGTCTGAGGTCAGTCCAGGTCTGTGCATCATTGGTGGGACTGGATGCAAGAATATTGAAGTGGGGTACTGAGAGACCTCCTGTTATCTTGAAATCTAAGAGTTCAACGTGGCATGACGAGATGAAGTCATGGGTTGCCTTATATATCATCTTGTTGTCAGGTAGGCCACAGCTTGAGAAGAGTTTGTCAATGTGGTTGCAGTGCTCTTCTTGAGTCCACATTTCTGTGACAGCTTGGAGAATTGTGGCTACATCTAGTGTTGTGAAACCTGTTAGACCGAAGAGAAGTTTGGGGGGATGCACGCAGTTAAAGGGAAGGGCTTCGAAAGTGAGATCAGTTGTGGACCATATGCATTGATGCAGGATTAGGTCCTTCGTCTTGTTGGTTACTTTGTGAACTAAGAAACTGATTGGTAGGCCTTTTGCTCCTTTTCTACCTTGGGGTTGTGGTGGGGAAATGCAGACAGGGGTGGTATGATGGATGGACTCTACTATGGTAGTGATGGTGGTGCATATATGTTCTGCTATTATGGCAGCCTGTTCAGCTACACCCTTTCCTGAATGATTAAAAACTTGAACCATGAACTTAGGGTGCTCAACCTGGAACCAGGCGAGCAGGACCCTGTTGTCCAAGTGGTCGAAAATTTGTGCTGAGTGAAGCATGTGTATAATTGGAAATCCACTGGTTAGGGCAGGGGTGAATTGTGGGAGGGCTGTGCTTTGGCTCATGCCATTGTGACTTAACACAGACTGGTTCATATCTGTGAGCACCAGGTGCACTAGGATAGCTTGTTCTTCTGGCATAGGAGTGTGTGTGGCAGTAGGGCTTAGGAGGTTGTTCATCAACTGGTCTCCCGATACATTACTGGGGGCATGGATAGAGCTGGTGAGACCGGTTTCATGGGTGTCGTTGGCGCTAGGAGTGTGTACCTTAACATTGAATTCCTTGTATACCAGGAGGTCAGGTCTGAGGGGGTGGACACAGTTTATGTGATCTCCAGGGGTTGGTGTATCAGGGGGGGATTGTGGACTGGGAGGGGAGGTAGGGGATGGTGGATCAGGCTGGTATGGGATCAGATCCATCACACTCTCCAGATTGTCTTCTTGTAGGACATCTGGCAGGAAATATTTTGGTCTGGACTTGGAAGATTGAGATGTTGGGTGGGGGGTGGTGGGGTATGGGTGAGTGGCCTGTGTGATGGCCTTGACGGAAGTGGGTTCTTTATCTTTCATTATTGTTTGGATGGGGAATGTCATGCTGGGGGTTGGGTTTTTATAGTCCTCTTCATTCTGCGCAGTTTTCTCCTTGTAGTATTCCAGGGTGGTTTGGTAGGGGCATCGTGGCTGAGATCATCTCAGTTTTGGTGATTTCCTATGGTTTATTACAGTTAGCTAGGTGAGTGATGTTTTTCATAAGGGGGTTTTATGATGAGAAGGTTAGTATGTGTTGAAAAAAAAGGTGGTGGAGGGGCGCTGTTTTATGTGCAGGTCTGTGCTGTTATCTTCATGCAGTCGTCTTGACATATTCAGGTGTCTTAGTCGTTCACTTATGGTGCATTCAAGTCATTTTCATTGACGTGTGTGGTTATGTGTGATCAGGTTATTCTTTTCATCATTGTTTGTTGAAGTCATGTGTTCGGAAAGTTTTATTTCATATCAAGATTTCCAGCATTGGGTCAATATTCTGTTAGTTGTAAGAGTTATAAGAGTTTTTTAATATGGTTCATAGGCCAGATGATGCTGAGAGCTACGATAGCTCGACCTTGCCCGCTTTTTAGGCGTGGGAATTCTCGACCATGGTCATGGTATGAGATCAAGGGCCCCCCATTTTTCTGTTTTGTTTTAATACATTATTGTTGTCAATGTACTTACCTTAAAAATGCCAGTAGCAGTGTCCTGGCATCTCAGTTCTTTTCCAAGACACTGAGATTTTACTTGTTTAATAAACTCCTCATCCCTCCCGCTCTTCTTATTACTGCAGGTTATGAGCCCTGCCTCAACCATGGACTCTATGCTCCCCAGAACCAACTCCAGCCTGTTCAATATCCTGAAGCTTGCAGAAGACAGCTTGAACTGGATAGCCTATAAGGAACAAACATTAACAGCAATAGGAGCCTGAGGTCTGATGTGATATACCGATGGTCAAGCCTACAAGCCAGCCCCTTTTGCCCTTGACAAGAATACTAAGACCCCTGTCAAGACAGATGGTACAGTGCCCTCACAGACTGAATTAGATGAGCACAAAAAGAAGGTTGATGAGTACCAGCAAAAGAATGCACTGGTCAAGCAGCAGATTTTTAGTATGATCACTGATTGACTATTACTGCATGTGCAGAACCTCTATGAGGCATCTGAAATCTGGGCAGAGATCTGTCAGATACATGAGGGCAAGACTGAACTCATACAAATTGATATGCATCACCACATGCAGGAGATGAGGTGTGAAGAAGGAGGAGACATCAAGGCACACTTGTTATGAACTAGGATAGTCGCAATGACAACAGCTTGATAAGAGCGATGGCTAGAGTTGAATCAAAACTTTACAAATGTAAAGTTCATAAGACAAAGCAAAGAGAGTGTGTCTGCTTTGAATATCGGTTCAGATGATTTAGGATTGGAGATCCTAAATGAAAGAGTTATCCAAGTGAAAACCTAGTAAGATTAAAGTAAAAAACTACTAAGTACATTGTTGACTATATATAAGACATAGATGATTCAGGGCAGGCATAAGTCAACAATGAGTCAGAGATAAGAAATGAGTCATCTAGTGATGGCTGCAGCGATTGTGATGTAATACAAATATAGGAAACAGGTCTAGCAGTGGCATCATGCGGCTCATGACGTAATACAAGGATAGTAATGGAAAATGAATAGGGGCGTACATGACTGTAACATTACCCCTTGGTTAGGAACAAAGTCACCAACTTCAGTTATCCTGATTAGCCCAATAAATTGGGTCAGCATCATAGTTAGAGTCCAGCAAGTCATTTTGCTCCTCTGTAATAGTAAACGACTTATCAGCCATCTCAGCAGCATGATAAATGGCATCCTGCTTGATCTCCCAACAAGCAAGGGCTTCATAGAAACCAGTGTCAGTCCAAACCAGTGGAATAACTGCTTCTCCTTTCAGGTCCTTACAAAAGGCCGATAAGTGTCTGGGTGCATACTCCTTGCAGACTCGGCAGTAATATGCTGGGCAGTTCTTGTGACAATGCCCAGTGATATGACAGTTGCAACATACTATGTTGTCAATGGTTGCTGTTTTTATGGTGGTGATAGTGGATGACTTTGTGGGTGGAGATGGGGATCTGGATCATTGTTTATGGTTTCTGTGTGGGGAAGCTGACGCTGTGCATTTAGCAATATGAGCGGATCTGCGCCTAGTAGGGTATCAACATGTAGTGGGTGTGATGGGGGTAGGAGAAGGAGAAGCTGGTACATCAAGTACAGCAATAGGAGGGATACCATCATCTGGGTGCTCAATAGTAGCTGTTGGAAGAACCAGCGGTGGGATTGGAACAGCAATATGTGGGGAAGGGGATCACATGACTGGGTTGGTAGCGATTCATTCTGTGACAATGTGGATAGCTTCTCTGATAGCCTCTTTAGTAGTAGAAGGCAGCAGGTGGATTGGAGTATTATGAATATGTATATGAAAGTGACGGAAGATGGTCTTGTGATGCTTGTCATCAAGAAGGTTGGTGGTACATTCAACGAGGCTAGCATCTCTGATGATTCTGACAAGGAGTCCGCTAGGGATTGCTCTGTTTTCTCCTAGAATAAGATCTATTTCAATTGCGTATTGCAGGGATGTGATGGCAGATTCAAATAGGGTGTTATTTTCAATTTCATCAAGGATTGTGAAGTAGTTGGAGAGACTGGAGTCGTTAAAGAGGGTAGTATCAGATAAGGGTGGAGATGTGACAGGAGGAGTGGTATTCTCAGCAGTGGTTAAATTAGCAATGGTGGCAGTTTGGTAGTCAATGAGGGATAGTGGGTGAGCGATGCTTTCAGATACAGTGTTCATAGCAGCGGTAAGTTCTTCAATGCATTGGATACAGAGGCGTAAGTGTTCAAGAGACATTGTTTGAAAGTTACAATTGATGAGTCTTTTTATATGCAGAGAGAACATCAGCGGTGTTGCTAAGGTTCTCTTCTGGGATCCATTCATTACTGGCTGAGGAGTATCCTTTCCAAGACACTAGATAGCATCTTCATTTACCCACGCCTTTGTGCAATAAGATCACATCGACTTCATATTCTTTGTTATCAATGATGTCTGGGGGAGGGTCATGGAAGTTCAGACCATGGATTTCTGTTTCATGATAGGATGATAGTTCAGAAGCATGGAATGTGGAGTGAACTTTCCATTGTGATGGCAACTGGAGTGTGAACATGATAGGAGATAATACGTCAATGATGGAAAAGGGGCCATATTGCTTTGGCATGAGTTTCCATGATGGTAACTGCATGATCAAATTTTTTCCTGATAACCAAACCTTATCTCCTATCTTCCATGGATGGTATTTCTGTCCATGACTTTGTTTGGCCATTCGTTGCATAGTGAGGTTATGACAGGACAATGCTTCTTCTCTTGATTTCTGAAGCGAGTGAAGCCTATCTTCTGCGGCAGGGACAGTAGAGTTGGAGAGTACATGAGGAAGAGCTCTTGGTTCATATCCCATCATCAGGAAGAATGGTGAGGCATTATGGGAGTCATGTCTTCGGTGGTTGTGGACGAATTCTGCCATTGGGAGATGTTCTACCCAATCTTCAGGGTGATTATGGCAGTAGATGTGGAGATAGGTTTCAAGTTCTTGATTAAGATGTTCAGTCTAACCATCAGTCTGGGGATGATAAGCAGTTGATGTGGCTATGTTGTATTTCAAAAGCTTGGCAAGGGCTTTTGAGAACTTTGATATGAATTGCGGTCTGTGATCAGAAATGACTTTCTTGTGTAGTCCAAATTGGTGGTAAACGTATTTGAAAAATTTCTTAGAGACGCCTTCAGAAGTAATGGTTTTTGTGCAAGGGATTAGAATTACCCCCTTCATAAGGCCATGGTCTACCACGACCATAACAGAATCAAAACCAGCACATGGGGGAAGGTCAGTGATAAGGTTGACAGAGACCTGGGTGAACAGTGCAGCAGCAGCAGAGGGGATTGGGACAAGAGGTGGTGTCATCGGGTGGGTATCAGATTTCATTTGCTGACAAAGGGCACAACCCTCAACATATTTATGGATATAGGTGCCCATAGATGGCCACCAAAAGTCCCATTTGACAAGTTCTTCAGTTTTAAAACAGCTGGGATGACCAGTGGTAGCATGATCATGACATCATTCAAGAATAAGATGCTGACCAGCAGGTCAGACATAGGCATGATCTTTATAGTAAAGAATATCGTCCTTGATTGTCCAATCAGCAAGTGCGGATTTCATGGGAGGGAGAGATAAGCCATCAAGGGCATCAGAGGTGGCTTTGAAGATGGGGTTGGGATTGGAGGGATTGGGGTTTGCAAGAGTGGTCATGAGTTCAATGTCAAGAAGGTGAACAAACATGGAGTCAGGGAGAAGAGTGACATCATCATTATCATCATGTCCAGTTCCATGATCAGGATGCTGTGAGAGAGCATCAGGAGTGGCAAGTTTAGTTCCAGAACATGGTGGAGTTCGATATCATAACAGGATAGAATGAGTTGCCAATGGGCTTGTCTGCGGGTTAACTTTTGTGCTGAGTGGGAGTATAGGAGATTCTTGTGATCAGTGAAGACAAGGATGGGATGGGGGTTCCCTTCAAGGTAATGATGCCATTCAGTCAGAGTGTGAATAACCACTAGGAGTTCTTGATTAAATATCTGGTAGTTATGTTCCGCTGGGTTCAGGGTCTGTGATAGATATCCACATGGGTGGTAAACCCCATTTTCATCCATCTGTAGCAACACTGCACCAGTGGCAACTAGTGAAGCATCTGTGGCCACAGCAAACTGTCGACTCAGGTCTGGGTTTTGGAGGACGGGTTGCTTCAGGAAACATTCTTTCAACATGGAGAAAGTGGAAGTGCATTGGTCCGACCACTGGAATATGGTGTTCTTCTTGGTAAGGTCGATTAGCAGTCGAGTGATATCAGAGTAATGAGGGATGAAGTTCTGGTAGAAGTTACAAAACCCTAAAAACAACTGAACCTCTTTTACTGTGTTGGGAACAGGCCAATTGCGGATACTGTCAGTCTTG